CTCTGGGTGGGACTATGGTAGGGCTCTGTAGCATGGCATCTGGGCACAGCACCATTGCACGCTAACCCTTCTTCCAACTGGCAGGGTCTGATGTTGGAGGGGAGCATCTCCAAGGCAGGGGCAGGGCTGGGATCGGGGCAGCGGTGGGGGTCCATCTCCACCCTCTGTTTCTGCTTCTCCCAGGTGGCCGTGACCTGAGCAGCTTCTCCAGAGCCGTGAGCACCGGGTGAGAAGCATGAAGGACCTGGTGCTCTGCATGCTTCTCTCCAGCATCCCACAGCTCTGCTGCATCAGGGGTAGCTGCGGCCATGCAGAGCCAGGTAAACACGAGTCCACATCTTCCAAGCAGGCCCCAGCGGTGCTGCAGGGTTCAGTCGGCTTGCGGCCGGGATGCCGGTGCTGGTGGGTCCGGGGAGAAGATGGCGCCCCCAGGAATCGCTGTCAAGTCCTGAAACCTCTGGAGTTCTCCAGCCGTGGGCACAGAGCACTGAAGCACCTGGGTTGTTCTGACCCTAACGCTAGTGGCTGCCCTGCATGTCCTAGTGAGTCTTGGTGCAAGGTTTCCACAGCACCGCCCAAGGTCCCCCCAGACTAGGTCTCTGCTGCTGCTGTCCAGGGCCCCGCACTCCCGGCAGCCCTGCTGAGCTGTGCATTGGTGAAGTCTTTCATCTGGGGCATTCCCAGAGCTCTGGCTCTGCCGGGTCCTGGACAATCCCGCTGGCGTCAAGTCAAGCAGCGCCTCTCTCCTGGTCTCCAGCCTCGAGCTCCTCCCCTGCCAGGAGGCTCCTGCCTGCAGCAGAGGTCTCCACCCTGACGCCGGCCCCGGAGCAGGACGGTCGGGAATGTGGCCTCTCAGCCCCTCACGGCAGCGTGGTTTGGGTGCCGGCCAGGGTCACCAAGTCTCCCCTGGGGAGCTGGAGCAAGGGCACCCCAGCCAGATCCCATCACGCGGTGTCTTCTCCGCCCTCCGGGACTGCCCCCAGCGTGCAGCAATTATCAACCCTGGGGGGACACGAGAGCACAACGGACGGCCCTGGCTGGGCGCTGCACCCCACAGAAAGGTAAGGTCCTGGGCTCAGGCTGTACTGCAATCCCCACATCGCAATGGCAGCTTCGTGCCTCCTGTGGGCTGTTCCTGCCCTCTCGGTCCTGCGGCGTTGCTGTGAGCTCCCAAGAAGCTGTCACATCTGGCCCCAGAGGTGGCTGCACCGAGACGGTAGGCAGGGGATCGTGCATGGTTGAGATCCATCCTGTTGTGGGCCTGGGTGTGTTTGGGCTCCTGGCACATCTCGGTGCCCCTCTCACTGCTGGCCCTATGCAGGCAGGCGTCCCCGGTTGGCACGAGCTGGCTCCTGGGCCTGGATAAACACGATGTCCCCGTAGTGGTGGGAGCCTCGGCATCCCTGGCTCTGATTCTCCTTTCCATGGGCATCTACTTCTTGCGGCAGAAAATGGAGCGCACCAAGGGCAGCAGCACTGGTGAGCCCTCGGCCCGAGGCATAGCTGGAGCAGCAGGGGAAGATGGAGGGGCTGCTCTTGCTGGGACTGGGAATAGAGGGGAGCAGGCCCTAGGCTCGTAGCCTGTTTGCTCTGGCCCAGCCCTATAGCAGGTCCATGTGGGCAGGCGCACGCCCAGGAGGGCCTGCCCCGTGGGGTGGGAGCAGCTGACTTTGGGTGCGCTCCCAGCATGGGGCCTCTGAGCAGCAAGGGTCGAGGTCCCCGTCACCTTTGCAGGACAGCTCAGCTGTCCTCACCCCCTGCCCCTGGAGAAACAAGCCTGCCTCTATTCTGCAGCTTCTCCCAAACCCTCCAGCGGCAGGAGCTGGAGGAGGAACTACCTGGAGGTGGACGGAGCCTATGAGAACAGGTGAGCTGGGCTCAGGGCAGGCGCGCTGGCTGCAGCTCATGTCCTGGCCCCCATGGGAAAGCCCCGACAGCCCAGCACGCAGGGATGGAGTGGCCGATGCCTCCAGGCCACGTCACGGACTTCCCTGGGCCTGGGCTGCGGGGGTTGGGGGTGTGCACGTCTCCCAGGGACCGGTCAGCAGCCCCAAGGGCTACCTGCACGGCGAGGTGGGGCAGGGCCTGGGGTCGCTGAGGAAACCAAAAGGCCCGGGGGTTTCTCTTGACATCCCAGCCCATCAGGGCCGTCCTTGACACCTCCTCACCCCACAGGGCCTTCGAAGTGGAGTGTGCCATTGACACCCTGAGCCTGGATGAGACCCTTGCCCTCCCCAGCCTGGAAGACCCTGGCCCCACAGCTCCCACGGGGGCAACGCAGGCCTGGCCAGAGGTAACATGCATGAGGGCTGTCCCCGCGACTGGGCTGCCCACTCCTTGCAGCTCCCTGAGCCCTTGTGCAGTAGTGCTGTGCTCAGATCCCTGCCGCCAGCCCTGTCCTGTCCTGCACTCGTTGCCTGTTTGCACTGGCCATCCGTGAGTTGGCCCCTGCCAGTCTTCTTGCAATGAGGCTCCTGTTCCTGCTAGGGCCCTGCATTTTGCTCCAGTTGGGAGCTGTCTGTTGGCCAGCGGTCTGCCCTCACATGCTGGCAGAGGCAGGAGCAGATGCTGAGTGAGACCTGCAGCTAAGCTGGAGCTTGGTTTCAGCTGCCTACTTGCTCCTGCTTTGCAGTGGGGCTGAGTTACCCCAGCCATAGACCTGGCACTGTGCCCATCCCGTCTGCTCCTGATGCACATGCTGCTCTTTCAGGACTCACAAGCGTTGGTGCAGAGCGAGACCAGTCCCCAGGGACGCTGCCCCAGCCCCGGTGGAGCCACATCTTCTGCTGCAGCTGACGACCCCCGTGGAAGGAGACCAGATGTGAGCACAGCAGCTTCGCCAGCTCCCCCGCATGTCTGCACCACTCTGCACCTCTACCGGCCTGAAACATCCGCGTGCCTCCCTCCCGGGGAGCAGGCTGGTGCCGTGCTGGCCGTTACCATCGATATCCACCTCTGCCCGGCAGAGGTGCGCTCGGCTGCAGGTGCCGCACCAAATGCCTCTGAGCCACCCCTGCCAGAGGCAGCATCCCAGCCGCCTGCTGCATCGCTGGACCCCGGTATGTGAGCGCTTCTGCCACCACCACAAGTGCACTCCAGTGCGGGCAGAAGTGAGTCCTTGCCATGCAGCTTCCAAGATGCTGGTGCTGAGCCTTGCACCCCCGGTGCCTTGCACATTGCCTGCCCATGTGACCTCCGTGATGCAATCCTGTCTCTCTCGCAGGGCCCAGGAGTTATCTGTGACCAGAGCAACACAGGCCTGCTCCAGATGGATAGAGAACAAAACTGCAGCGGACTCTAGCAAAGCATAGCTGGGAGCAGCTGCCGGCCTGGAGGGTCCACGGGCTGCAGTGGGTCAAAACTTCCTTGCCACTGGCCATGGCCTGTTCTCCTTCCTGCTGCTCCTTCACCCTGCCTAGCTGCTGAGACGCTCCCTCCTGGCATCTCCCTGCTGCCTCATCCACCAAGCCCCAGCACAGCTCACTGAGCCACGGGCAGCAAGGAAGCGGCAGCAGTGCCTGCTCTGGTCCTGGGAGGTGCCATGGTGTGCAGGTATCGTCACAATCACAGACTGCAATGGGTGCTGGGATGCTCTTGGCTCAGAGAATAAATGGGGGCCAGTTCCAAGACTGCGGCTTCACCTTTCATACTGCAAAGTCCCGTTCCTGGGGGGCTGCGAAGGCTGTGGAGAGGCTGCCAGCAAACAATCCCACCCAACTTGATTCCAGGTGGGATAACAGCTCCTATTGCAATGGAGAGGGGGGGTGGGGGAGTGACATGTGCCTGCCCTCGGCGGTGACTAGTGCTCAGGTTTTCCAGCACAGACCGGCACCACGTACAGCGCAGGCACCTTGGGATCGGCACCTGGCACTTTCAATTACTCTCCCCACCCCGATTCCCTGGTTCCCTGAAGGGCAGAACTGAATGTTTCATGCAGCTGGGACTTCAGCACAGGCCGCATGGCGCAGGGCCGGTCCCTGCTCTGCCCGGGGGCTCTGCACCCTGGGAAGCCCTGCAGCCCATGGAGCTGGGGCTGGGGTAGGGAAACCCAGCGTGATAGCAGAGGCGGCAAATAGAGCGAGACACTGGGAGCAGACTCGTGGACGTGCCCGTCATAGCTCCTGGGACACGTCCATGCTGGGGTGGGCAGAGGCGAGGCTGCGGTTGGCTACTGAGCATCGCCAGACCCTTGGCCCACCCTGCTACGTACTGTATGCTGGCCACCGCGGCGTTTCCCCTCTTGCTTCCGGGTCCCTAGCCTGGGACCTGCTGAGTTGGCGCCTGAGATCTCCTGAAGGAAATGAGGGATGTTTCCTGTTTTCCACCTGCTGGGAGATGAACTTGTCGCCTCCTTTACTGGCATGGAACAAAACACTCTCACCATGTGCAGAGCAGCCACTGACCCCAAGCAAACCAGCTCCCCTTTGCCTCAGCACCTGCCCGGCAGCCCGCGGACGGGACCCACACATGTGACAGCAGAAAGGGGACGGGGGAGGCGCGGGGGTGAGAGCCCAGGGCAGGCCAGTGCAAGGGGCTGGCGAGCAGAGCCGTGCTGTAGGTGGGCCACGGTAACCGTACCTCTCTCCTCTGGAAAGGAGTTTCCCGGCAGGTGCAGAACAGGAAACGTCCCTCACTTCCTCTGGGCCCTCGGGCGTCCACTCAGCAGGGCCTGGGCAGGGGACCCAGAGCCGAGAGGGGAAGCACCGCGGTGACCAGCAGCCAGCATGCGGCAGGGTGGGTGATGCTCGATGCCTGACAGCAGCCTCATTTCTACTTGTTGCAGCAGCAGCGTGCAGACGTATCCCAGGAGCTGCGACAGACGCATCCGCAAGCCAGTTCCCAGCCTCTCCCACTCGGCCCCTGCAGCTGGTGTGGAGAACGCCCGAGACACGGGTCAGGACCACTGTCCCCTCCTCGGCATGGGTCTGGCTCCAGCGGGGAGCACTGGAGCTGGTTGGCCGGGCGGCGGTAGCTGACGTGGCCTCGGGCCCAGACGCGGTGCCCTCTCCCCGCGGCGGCACTGCTAGAGCTCTGTGGAGGGCTGGGCCGCGCTGTGCTCAGCCGGCTCCGGGCCGGGGTCCGGCACGCGGAAGGACACATACGGGCACCGTCGCACGTTGTTGCACACCAGCTTCTGCAGCGACGCTGTCTGCACCAGCGCGAAGCCGGTGGCGCCGCCGAAGGTGCTGGGCTTCCAGTACACGGGGGAGCAGATGGGGTTCCCCAGCAGCCCCTTGAGGGAGAAGGGGGCCCCGATCTCCACCATGCTCTCCCCAAAGATGGCGTTGGCTTGCGGCTTCTCCAGCAGCAGCCCCGGGTAGAACTCCAGGGCGTCGATGTCGCCGTACAGCTCCGCCAGCTGCGCCGCCTTCTCCTCCTCTCCTGCACCGGGGAGAGCAGGAGCGGTGGGTGAAAGGGGCGTTTGGGAAGGAATTGCCCGGAGCTGAAGCCCCCCTCACAGCAGGCAGGGCCGGCTCCTACCTGTCAGCTCCTGGAAGGATGCGTAGGGCCTCATGCCAAACCTCTTGCGGTACTCATTGAAGGGCTGCAGCCGCAGCTGCCGGGACTCCTTGATGAGCCCGACGGCTACGTTCAGGAGGTTGCCGTTGATGGACTGTCCCCCGCCGATCTGACGGGCAGGAAGGAGGGAGAGAGCACATGCCAAGAGGTCCTGTCCCCGCTAGCTGCAGAAGCCCTGCTCCTGGGCATGCTGCGTGGGACGTCTCGGCCTGGCGCTTCTCGCTGCCTCGTGCCAGGGACCTGGGGACGGCTACTGCCCCGGGGCCACAGGCCTGCCCTGGCAGGGCTTGGAGCCAGCTGCACACCTGTGCCCAGCCATAGTGGTGCGATAACCGGCCCCTGAGAGGGGGCCATTTCTTTCCAGGCAGAGGGAGCGAGCTAGGCACTCGGAGAGAGCAGCAAAGCGAGTGGGGGACAGGGCTCCCAAAGGGAAGGGGAGGAGGAAAGACGGGGCCCAAAGGCCGTGAGCGTGAGAACGACCGCCGGGTGGCAGCAGAAGATGCAGGATGAGCATGGGCATCGTAAGTGCCCTGGGGCATAAGGCTGGGTTGCAGCCATACCCCCGATATGTACGGTGCTGCCCGGAGAGCTGCCTGGACGCTGCACCGCCTGGGCTGGGGTCCTGCCTCACGGCGGCGTTGGGGCGTCTGGAAACCAGGTCCTGCCCCCAAGTGCCCTCCTCCCACCCGGCAGGTCAGGAAACCCCCCGCCAGCCTCTGTCTGCAGGGCACCCGGATGCGGGCAAGCAGCCAGCCCTGCCGTCCTCCCGCAATGCCCCCGCGCGCCAGCCTACCCGTCCGGCGTGCTGCTTGGAGAAAGCCTCGACCAGCTCCTCGATGCCGTAGTCCGTGAGCATGGTGGTGTTGTAGATGAACTGCTGGTAGCTGTACTCCTGCCCCTGGATGACGAAGGCGTCCGGCATGAGCGCGTGCCAGTGGTAGAGCTGGTTGAACTCCACGGCGATGCGGTTGCGGTACTGGAACTGCACCCCGAACAGCAGCTCGGGGTCGAACTTCAGGCGCAGGAAGTACCCGCTCAGGTGCTGCACGTAGTCCTCGATGACGATCTTGATGGTCTCCCCTGGGTGGGAGCGGAAAGGAGCCAAGGGAGCAGGGTGAGCCGCTGGCAGCCGGGTCCGGGCAGCAGGGCACCCGCTCGTGGCTGGTACCCGGGCCACGGGCACAGGTGGCACGTGGGGAGGGGAGCTGTGTAGCATGCACCAGCTGAATAAGATAGCAAGGTGCCAGCAGCGAGGACCATGGGGCTGGGGCGCAGGTGCCTGCCCGGCCCCTCTGGCGCTCACCGATGAGGATGAGCCGGGCCGTCTGGAAGAGCTGCTCGTCGCCCCACGTCGGGTGCTCCTGCTTCAGCACGTCACAGACGCGGTTGTGCTCGCGGAGCCAGAGGGTCGCGTACATCATCAGCCCGGGCAGGAGCCCAAACACCTCCTGGCCCACGGCCAGCTGCTGGGCCTGGGCGGTGCCGTTGGGGTAGATCATGTGCACCGGCGCCTGGAGCACCGTGGGCGGGTACACCTCCCCGTCCACCACCTGTGGGGCGAGCACCAGCTGGCAGCGAGGCGCCAAACTGCCTGCCCCAGCCCCTGCCCAGCCGGGACCCCCGCACGGCCGGCCCCCCCTGCCCAGGGCCCAGGGAGGCGCAGCCCGGCCTGGTGCAAACAGGCTCTCCGAGTGCACGTGGGCAGCAAGCTTCAACCAGGGCACGGTCACCTGGGGGAGCCGAAAGGTGGTGGCCCCAGGGCTACCCAAGGGAGGAGGGTGCCGGTGCTGACAAGCACGGGGCTCGTTGCATCCTACGGCAGAGGGGGCAGCCGTACCTGGTACTTGAGCTTCCCGTCTCTGAAGAGCCGCAGCTGGTGCTGACGCTCCAGGGTGTCCCCGTACAAGTGCCCGAGATCCACCTGCAAAGAGAGGGCGGCGTGACCCGGGTGCATGCCTTGCAGGCAGCAGGCACGTCTGCCTGGTCCCCAGCCCCGGCCAGCCTGCAGGCACTGCCCAGGGGTGGGCAGCTTGGGGGCTTCTCCCTTCCCTCTGTCTGAATAGGTACCCGCAGCCGCCACTCTCCAGAGGCAGCAGCTGCCCAGACACGAGCTCAGTGCCCAGGGCCGAGCCAGGCAGCGAGTTGGGGCAGCCCGGGAGCCTGGCGTCCGTCCGGCATGGCTCCAAGGGCAGCGGGCAAGAAGGCCGAGGGCCTCGTCCGTACCCCATGGCCCAGAGCCTTGGTGAAGCCGCGTCCCATCTTCCCGGATGTCTTGAAGAACTGGTGAGTGAAGTGCTGGGCGAAGAAGGCGAACATCAGGTTGGTGCCTTGCGGGTCCTTCTCAAACGTCCGTCGGAGCAGGAACCTCTCGGCCAGGAGCTGGGGGTCGGGAAGCTCCTTCTTCCCTGCGGAGGAGGGAACCAGAGGCAGGGCCATCAGTGCCCCGGGGAGTGCCGCGCGGCTGCAGCCCGGGCTGCGGGACGCTGGATTCTCGTTGCGTGGGTTGGGTTTTGCCACGTGGCTCCTACTGCCTTTGTTGGAAAACAAACCTGCTCCTATAGCAGGCTCTGAATTTAGCTCAGGACAGGCAAAGGCCTCAGCACGTGATAATCTCCTAAAGCACTTCAACAAGGAGCATTGGCGTGTGGAGCGTAGCAACCCGAGAGCCGCTCTCCAACACGCCGAGGCACGGCACGGTGCTTTTGCATGTAAAGAAGCAGCCAGGAGCAGCACCTGAGGGCCGGGGCGCTGCTTTGCTGGTGGGACTGAATTCCAGGTGCCAGCCTTGCGTAACAGCCTGACTCGAACCGCGAGCCAACAGATGCTTATCTTGCAAAGAAGGCAAAGGTTGCTCACAGCCATCTCGCATACCGGAGATGTAAACCTGATGCAAATGTGGCACAGGAATCCCAGGTGCATCGCGCTCTAGACCTGTTTCCACAAATGCATACAGAATAAGTGCACCCTCCCGGGGAATGAAGGGCGTTATCAAATCTAGGGGAAAGGCGGCTTTTATCTGTCAATCAACTTGTTGTAACGGCCGTATTGACCAACAAGCGGGGCTTTCTGGAGGGCTTTAACTCATGGAGCCGAAGCCGCCAGATTCCTGCAGAGAGCTGGTCGTGCGTTGCATATATCAGATCTGCACCAGCAACATCCCGCGCCCCGGGGACCGCAGGTGCAGCCTGGCATGTACTTTCCTGGCCTGCTGACACTAAACTCGGCCCAGAGACATCGGGGTTCGGGCCTCTGCTGCCTGGCTTTGGGGGTTCACCCTCGTGCACAGCCCTTGACGAGGAGCGCGAGCGTGGGAGCCGCCTGGTCCCCGGAGAGGGGGACTAACAGGGCCCAGGCTGAGCTCTGCCTCCGTGAAGAGCTGTCGCAGGGCTCCCTGCTCCTCTCCCTTGCATTTTGCATCCAGGAAGGTCTGACTCGGAAGCCGTGCCCAGCCGCCTGTGTCGGCGCGCAGCCAGGGCTCTGCCTCTTGCAGCGCAGACCGGGCATCAGGCCACGGTATCAGCCGGGCTCTGCCCAAGTGCAGCGCCTCCAGCTGCCCTTTGCCAGCCTGCTCGCCGCTCAGGCGGGCGCGTACCTTTGGTCCCCATGGGCGTCGGGCAGTCACCGGGCACCGGCGGCAGGACGCGGGTGAAGTAGCTCACGTTGGCGTAGCTCTCCCAGCTGATGTAGCCGTAGTCCGAGTTGTAGGTGGGGGGGCTGGGGATCAGGTTGGCCCGGACTGAAAGGGGACAGCAGGAGGTCACCTTGCAGCTGGGGGTACCGGTGCCAAGTGATTGAGGGGGGCAGCAAGTGCACGGCCCCAGGAGCGTGACCCGAGTGCAGGGCACAGGGCCGTGGCCTGGGGTGCAAAGCAAGGTCCTGCACTCAGGTCCTGGCTGTGCAACAAGGGGAAAAGCTTCCACACGGCTTGTTTCGACCGGGGAGATCTAAATTTTTGCCTGATAACCAGCTTGGGAGGTCTGCAGACGTCTGGCAGCTCCCCGCTTGGCTCCCTGCCCTGGGGCTCGGCTCGGCCTCCCTCCTGGGCGCTCGGTGCCAAGGGAGGCCTGGGTGGCGTGGTCCTGAGGGGGCGGCGGGGGTGCGAGAGCCTGGGGCCGCAGGTCAGGATGGAGGGGGGCTGGCAGCAGAGTTGCCCGCGGACAGCCCTGCCACGTCCCGCTGCCACACTCCTGTCAGCGCAGCACCAAGGAGAGAGCCAGGGGGCAGGAGGGCAGCAACCCGGGACCCGCCTGCCAGGGCTCCGACGTGAGCTCCAGGGAGCCTCGCACAAATATTTATGCAAGAGGATAAACAGTGATGGAGCCGTGCAGCTGGAGCCGTCTCCGGAGCTGCCCTCCTCCTCCGCCCCTCGTTGCCCCAGGCCAGCGCGGACGCCGCTGACCACCCGAGATCTGCAGCATCCGAACGGCGGTCCCTGCTCCTCTGCCCTGCCCGTGCCCATCCCCGCCCTCCTGCCCCACCGCCTGCAGCCAGCTCGGTCCCGCGCTCCCCACTGCACCCTGCGGCCTCCCCGTGACTCCTGGCCTGGACCTGGCGGGGGGGAAGCACCCCTTATCGCAGCCTGGGGGCTGCAAACGCTGGTTGGAAGCCTCACGACGGGCAGGCATTGAGGCTGCTACGAGCACCGAGCTGGTGGCGGGCCTGGAGACGATGCAGATGTCCATGCACAGGCGTCCCCGCTCCCAGCCCCCTGCTCTGCCCATCAGACCCCGCTTCCCCCCCAGAGCTGTGCATGGAGCCCGGGAGTCCCGACTCCCCAGCCCCTGGACTACGAGGCCCAGCCTCACTTTTCAGCACCAGCGTCATCAGCGTGTCCCTGATGAAGGTGCTGTTGATGATGTCCCAGAACCACTTGAAGTGGGTCAGCACGAAGTGGTAGAAAGCCGGGCTGGGCTTCAGCAGCTTGTGGATGCGCGTCCAGAACTCGGCTGCGGAGACACGGACCAGGGGTGAAGCGCCGCGTTACCTCTCGCCCGCGCCCCGGTCCCGGTCCCGGTCCCATCACGGTGACACCCGGTCCACGAGGCCTCACGTGCTGCTGGACCACGAGCCCCGCACGGTTAAGCACGCGGGGATGGCGCGATGCTCCTGGTGTGGCTGCGAGCGTCGCCGCTCAGTGCCACTGGCAGAGCCCCGGAGCCTGCCCCGGGGGCCACGGCTTGTCCCTCTGCCCCCCAGCCCTCGCTCCGTGCCCAGCGGGGAGGGGACTTACGCAGGGTGCAGTTGGTCCCGAAGTACCCGGTCCGCGTGCAGTCACACTCGTAGCCCTCCAGGCCGACCTGCACGCACACGCCTTGGTGCTGGCAGGGGAAGTAGCAGCAGGGATCCACTGCAGACGAGAGAGAGAGGTGGGTGATCACACCCGCGGCCACCCCACAGCGAGGAGCTCCTCGGGCCCCGGCCGTGATGTGCCACCCCTGGCTGGCTGCGGGCCGGGCAGAAGCAGGATGAAATTGGGCTTGGTGCATTCGCAGCGGATCTGGGAAGGGGGAACCTGAGATGACCCAGAGCCTGTGCCAGGGATAAGCAGCTTTTTCCATCCATCCTCGTGCCAAGTGCAGCCCGGGAGCTGGCAGCGGGTGGGACCTGGGGGTGTCAAGCAAGCCAAGGAGCATAGGGCTCCCCCCTAAACGATGCCAAGTGCCACATTTCACCTGTTCCTGTCACCTCCCTCCAAACTTTGTCCCTGTTTTAACTGATTGCAGTCCAGGGGAGGTAGCTAGGCATGCCCAGAGGGGACCCTGTGCCCACCTGAAAGGGGGATGCTGGCCAGAAGGGCAAAGCTTTCCCTTGCTGCCATACACAATACCAGGCTGTCTGCAAAAGGAGGCATTTAGTAAAGGAAATGGCTCCACACCACTGATACCATCAAAGAGGTTTCCACACAGCTTGAGTCCCAGCTGGCACCTCTTGTTCACCAGGGCTGAAGGCTGCACCTTGGCACTGCCAGCTACTCCGGTCGGGGTTTCCGGCTGGGAATGGCCTGGGAGCAACAGGGAGCCTGCCCTGTTCCCACCCCCTCTGCAGCGATCGGGGATGTTGCATCCTTGGCGCTACCAGCCGTGCAGGGGGTGGAAGTGTCCACGGCAGGCGGGGGCTCCTGCAAACCCAAACCCCAGCTGAGACCAAACGAGATGCCCCCTTGGCCTGGTAAATGCCCCTGGTTCTGCCCCAGAAGGCTCCACGTGAGCGGGGAAGGAGGCCACGTGCAGCCCGGCCCCCAGCGCCCCATGCAGAGAGCCTGCGGCTGGTCAGCGTGCCCAGGAAGCAGAGGCACGAGGGGCTGGGCTTTGCTCCCGGGGATAAGCGAGCCTAGCCATGAGTCCGGCCCTGAGCCTGGCTCTGTAGGGCCCACGTGGAGCGTGGCTGGGATCCACACAGCTGGGGCATCTCAGTGGGACCCTCTGGCTTTTACAAGCCCATAAAAGCCCGGTGCATTCCTGGAGGCTTAGGCCGGACAAACACGGAGGAGAGGAGGGCGGAGGCGAGGCTGCTGCGGTGCTTGGGGGAGCAGTGCCCTGCCGGGGTCGTCCTCTGAGCCATCTTGAGTGTGTCAATAGAGGATGGAGACGGGGCCAAGCTGCGAGTCACCAGCGAGTTATGCAAATCCCAGGGGCTTGCACAATAGGGGACTGTTGTGCATGGGGGGACCCTGCTCCGCTGCGGTAGGTAGCGCTCACCTTGCCCAGGCAAGCGGGAAGCTGGGTGCGCCGGCGAGTCCAGAGCATTTGGTTATAAATTTTCAATGCAAATCACCCTGCGAGCCTGCGAGCCTGGACTTGGCCAGCCCCAGCCCTTGCCATGCAAGGGGCAGGTCCTCCACAGCCCAGACCCGGGGGATGTAACAGGGCCTGTCCTGCACGCCACCACCTTGTCTGGGGACCGAGATGGGGGCAGCTTGTTCTCCCTTGAGGGGACAGACTCCACCCTGCGCCGGAGCTGCTTTGTTGCCACGCCAGGTCTCCAGCTGCAGGGCAGATGTTGCTGCCATTTGTGCTCCGAGCAGGTCCGGCGCCCGGGGCCGCAGCGCGCGGTTGCTCCCGCTGTCGCGTTTGTACAAGATCCAGGGAACGCGGAGGGAGGTGGCAGAGACCGGGGCGCAGCTCCCATGCAGGGTGCTAAGGAGGGGAGCGAGGCCCGGGCATGTTCCCGCCAGCCCTCCCCTCCACTCAGAGACTGGGCCTTTTGGCTTCTTGTGGTTGGTCCAGATGGGAGCCACATGGAGGATTTTCCCAGCTAAGCCCCAGGGAAGGGAGCTTCCGTCTCCTGTTTCCAGCGCCAGGAGCCCTTTGCTTCCCCTCCTGGCTCCGGCTGCGCTGGAGAGAGACGGGTGCAAGTGGGAAGAAGGGCGCTGGGCTGCCACGCTCTGCAGTGCGTTGCCACGGATGGCGACCCGGAGCCCCGGCTCATTTCTTCCCCTCCAGCTCGGAGCTGGCGTCTGAGGGCCGGCCGCGCGCATGGGCATCTCTTAGCCGCAGGCCCAGCCCCAGGCTTTTGCTGCAGAGGGGAAGTTCTCCCGTCTGCGCGGCGTCTTCCCAGGGCTCTGAGGAAGTCTCCACAGGGCCACGTGCTCTGGACATCCCGTCTGCAAAAGCCCCTGGCAGCTGGTGCCAGAAGAGGGGAAAGCTGCAGCGCTGCCCAGCCCAGCCCAGCTGCTCTCAGCATTAAGAGGTTTTTCCTCCCACTCTGCCAATGCACCTGCTGCCTGGTCTGCAGCGCTCCAGCCCCCATCCCACAAAGGGGCCTGTTCCCTGGCAGCACCACCCCATGCTGCCACTGCAGCCCTGCCACGAGCTGCAGCGCCCAGGTAGAGCCCCCTTGCACCAGGGGGGAGTTTGCCTCTGCAGCAGATGGCGCGCTAGGTCTGGAGCTGCTCATCCCCTGAGCTGCCCCGCTCTGTCTCTGGCCTCTCCTCGGGATGGAGGTGGCAGCAAGTTTCTGGGCAGCAAATGTGCCAGCTCTGCCCCGGGGGCCGGAGCCATGCAATCCCAGCCTGCCTTCCCTTCTCGAGCGTGCTTAGCCCCAGCAGCAGGATGTTTCCACTTGGCAAGTTGTTATTTCTCAGGGAGGGGACGTGTAGCTGCGAGGGCGAACGGCTCCTGACATCCTCCTTAGTCCCAGCAGCTCGCACAACAATACGGCCGGCCTGGCAAAGACCTCCCACGCTGCCCGGGAGCCCGCTCCGGCGGACAGGGCAGACCGATGAGTTCAGGGCATGTTTGCTTTGCTCTTTGGGCAAGCCTGCTTGGCCCCGGGACCTCCCGGCCTCGGCTACGTGTCCACGGGGTGCCGCAGGTGCATTACAACCCGGTTCACCCCAACTCCGCTGCCTGCCTGCGCCTGGGGCTGGAGACGGAGCTGGCGCCATTTCTTCTCTGCTGATATCGCACGGCCGAAAGACCGCAGAAGGAGAGCCTGAGGAGGTCCTGAGCCGTGCTGGTCGCTGGCACACGGGCTCTGTGAAGCCCACCGGAGCCGGGACCGCCGTGGCACTATAGTACGTGGAAGGCGCCGAGTGACCAGGCACGGCGCCGACCCTCAGGCCGGAGGACGAGGCCGAGCCGTGACGTGCGGCAGGTACAAATGCAGACCTGAACTTTTGCAGAGTTCAGGAGCGCCCCGGTCCCCGGGTTCAGCCCGGGTCCTCCCTTGCGGAGGCGAAGCACTACTTCTCGCACACACGCACAGGCCGCGCCTGAGCCCCGCGGGCCAGGAAAGGAGGAAGGAAAGAATGTCAGGCACTCGGGCCGCCGGCTGGGCTGCGTTTAGACAAACACGTCCCTCCCGCTCGCCCCGGGACCGGGCTGTGCGGGGGCTGCGGTGCGTGAGAACGGAGGGGAAACAACTCCCTCCTGCCATGGCCTGTTCCCGCGGAGCAGCCAAAGGAAATTCCACTTCGGGCGCCTGCGTCGGCCTCCGGTGGGGCTGCGTGCACGTGCCCTTTTCACCGTGCAATGCTCCAAATGGCTCCTGCAGCCGTGAGACCCGCCGGACACCTCCGAGGCTTGCATCCTGGGCACCCCGAGCCGGGCAGCTACGCAGCAGGAAGGGTCAGAGGCTTCCTTCGTATGACAGAGGCTCGGGCACCGCAGCGCTTATCTGTGTAGAAACCGACTTCCTCGCTGGGCCGGCACCGGGCGCCACAGAAAAATGCCGCCAGGATGGGAGCAGCGTGCCCCGGGGCCCAGCCTGAGCGTGCCAGGGGAGGATGCGGCGAGCGCCCGGGGCTGGGCCCTGGCCGGGCACGTCTGCCTTGTCGAGCCCTTGCTGCCTCCCGTCGAAGCCCGGCGCAGCATCCTTGCACTGGCTTGGCCGACGCATCTCCTTGGCTAGAGAGAGCCCCTGGGAACGTCCCTGCCCTTCCCTTCCATCTAAGATTGCTGCTTGCTGTTTTCTTTGGACGTCTCCATGCAGCCCTGGCCTGGCGGGGTGCTGCCAAGTGCTGCAAAGCTCCTCAAAACAGCCTGGCGCCAGGGGAGACAATGCCTCAACCTCTCACCGAGTCCGGGAGCGCGGCTGGGCTGTTTCCAGACGATCTGCAGGGGAGACCCTTTCCCTGGGCCAGCACCCCAGGTGCTCAGGGGTCCCATCAGGGAGCACTCTCCCTGCCGTCTGCCCGCAGCAGGGTCTGGCGGGCCAGCTCTCACGACCCTGCCAGGGGGACGGGGAGCTCAGAAACTTGCACCCGTGGCACGAGGCAAACAAAAACGCTGCCCAAAAGGACAGGATGGAAGTGGGGTGTTTGACCCTGACCCAGGCAGTCCCTGCAAGACCTGTGCCCGACGCCGGCACCGGCCACCTGCCACCTCTGACCCGGTCCTTGCAGTGCCCCGCACAGGTCCTGCCGCTCACCGGGGGGACTCGGCAAACCAGAATAACGCCATACGCTTCACCAGGGAGCCCCTTTGGGATAGCCTCCCCCCAGCAGCAGAGCCAGAGTCCCTTCTCGCAGCTGCGCGTCTGCTCCGGGCCCTGCATCACCTGCGGAGCCCGAGCTCCGACCCCGCCGGAGGGACCGAAGGGGCCGCTTGCACCGGACAGGGGTCTCCCTTGGTGCAGGGAATTGGGGGGCCCTGAAGAGGCCCCATGGGGCAGGGTACCGACCTGTGCTGGGGCTCCCCACGGCCAGGCACACGCTCAGCATCATCGCCAGCGAGACGGGGAGACTCGGCTCTGCAAGGCAAAGGAAGCACGTTGGCAGGCGAGTCCTGAGAGGGACCCGGGAGGGCAGGGGAGCGGGGTGCTGGTGGGGCACACCCGGGACTCACTGGCCATGCTGGGAGAGGTGCTCCAGACACGCTGCCGCGGCAGCACTTCCCTCGCTGCCTCTGGCTCTGGCTGCGCTCTCTGAACCAGGCAGCTGCCTCCACCACTCCCACTTCTTCCAGTCTCGCTCCTCCCCACTGTCCCGGCTGCTAGCAGGCTTGGAGGGAGGTATTTGCCCTGTTTCTGCCCCTTGCACGGAGGCTGTAGCTGCAGGCAGGCCAGGTTCAACCTCCTTGGTGGGCATCAGATGTGTCCCCATGCAGCGGAGGAGGCCTCGAAGCCCCCCTGCCCCGCTTCAGAAAGCCCCTTGCCCCTCAGAAGCTGCCCCCAGTGCCACAGCAAACTGCCCCCTCCCCTGCAAGCACCGGGGGGCACGCATTACCTCCAGCAGCTCCACGTCGGCCTCGGCTGCCTGGTTTCCTCCATCGGGAGCTGAGGCCGTGGTGCTGAGCACAGCAGGGCTCCCATATGGGTTGGGTTTTTTTGTGCAAAAATATTTATTTCTCTCTATATAAAAATAAATAGCGATATATAACTCCACCTCCATCGCTCCGCCAAGCGGCCCCTGTGCTTCACTTGGCAGATCAAAGCACGCTCAAAGCCCGTTACGCAGTTTGCACCACGTATCCGCGCGCCCATGTCCACACCCGTCCCCCCACCCGCTGCGGGACTCCCACGGGTGAGCCGGCTCGCAGACCGTGCTCAGCCGCTTGGAGCCAGGCGAGACCGATCAGGCTGGGCTCTCGGGCAGCTCTGGCCTCCGAGGCGGCAGGTTTTGGGAACAAGAGGTGTGGTCCGCGACTTCTTAGCAGTTTCTCCAGCGGCTGCACTTCCAACTGCTTGGACCCTGCCCAGCGGCGGATCTCCAGGGAGCGGTGGAGGAGCATCGTCTGGACCGGGCTCCGAGTTTCACCAACAAGACTGCAAAGCTACAGGGCGAGAAAGCAGAGCAGGGGCTTGCTCCCTCCTTCTCCCCATCGTAAGTCATAGTCCCCTGCACGTAGCGGGCCGTTCTGGGAGCTGACCCGTGGGCACCAGCACATCTGTGCCCGGTAGATCTCACCTGTGCAGCCCAGCGCCGTGCGAGGCTGTTCATGAGGCATCGGTGCCTGGCAGTGCCCCAGGGAGGCCAGAAACGACAGCCAGAGCGCTGGGAAGAAGCAGCAAAAGTCCTTCTGGAAGCAGCCTCGGCCCCAACGTGCCTCCCTGTGACCTCCACATCCAGGACTTGCTTCCACGCACCGGTGCTCGCTGGGCCCGGGACGGCTGCTTGCACTGGGGAGCTTCGCCGTCAGCCCGTGAAGCAGAGGCTCTGGGGATCCCCGCGGACCCAGTGGAGGGGTGTCTGCGCCACTGTTCTCCGCCTCCCCCGGTGCCCGCAGCCCCGCTGAGCCCGGGGAGGAAGGGGGCCATGGTTACAGCACTTTCCTGGGGCCACTTTCTTGCTCGGCCTGACTGAGTCACTTGCCAAGGGTCTGGACCTAGGCTTCCCCGAGCCCCAGATCCCCTCCAGACGGGGATATGGACCCTGACGCCCACAGCACTGTGAGGAGGCCCATAGTTTCTTTGGCAAAGGGGCAGGCAATTGCTTAGCTGCTTTGCAAGCTGGACTCTGCAAGGGCAGAACCAGGGACCATTTCTGCATGCACGGAGCTGCCGGCTGCTCTGCCCTGCCGCCCGGGCTCAGGGAGGGCCTCCCGCGCCGTGCCAAGGAAGCCCCCCTCAAGACCGATGGAGAGCAGCTCCTGGGAGCTTGGGCAGAGCCGTTCCCCACGGCCCTTCCTGGAGCCCAACGTTGGGGCTGCCGGCACTGACAGCGGGTTCCTGTCGGGGAGCAGCGCTGGAAGCCAAGGCACGTCTGCCTGTTTTGTTAAGGCTATCGCACGCTGCACCCGCCCATGGCCTGGGCTTATCTGTGCATCCCCTCGGCTTGCCCTGCAGGAAGCTGGTGCCCCGGCTGGTCTGGAAACTTCCTTTGCTCCACAGAGCGGTAGGCGCACCAGCTCCCAGCTCTGCATTTAAGCTGCAGCCAAGCTGGCTGGGCCTCCCCATCACCAGCCAAGTCGGATGATGGAGGAAGGGGCAGTGAGAGGATGGAGGCAGCAGATGCTTCTGGCAGATGTCTCTAGCAGCACATGGGATGGGATGGGATGGGATGGATGGATGCCAAGGGGCATGGGGAGGAGAGGGCAGAGGTGCAGAGGCCGACTCCAGGTTCCCCCCTTGCCTGTGCACATACCAGCTCAAAACCCTTTTTTCTGGAGCCAGGAACCGCAGCCGGGCCCTCGGCACCGGACAGGGGAAAACGGAGAAAGCTGGGACCTGGGACAAACTTCAGAGCAGAGAGGACTTGCGGTGCAGTTAATGAGTCAAGCTGTTTTGCAGATCTCCTTCCAGCAGCGCCGCGGCCTGACTTGACTTCTTGCCTGCTGCGTGTCAGACAACACATCGGTTCCTCCCATCTAGAGAGCGTTTTCCTCTCAGCCAACCGTGTTCACAAGGGATTTTCTCCTGCTCCAGCCTATGCACACGCAGGTGCAATGTGTGTGTTTGGCATTGCTTCGGGCCGCGCTCATCCTCGGGGGACGTGCGGGGGCCAGAGGCTTCGTACGCAGCGGAGCTGAGAGCGGCGGAGGCAGCTGTCGGGCAATCCCCGGTCCGCTTGCTGCTTGCAGAGTTCATCGCTGGCTTCAGTGTGTCTGACTTCCCCTTGGTGTCATCTGGTTTCTCCTCGCCAAGGAAAGGGCTTGGCTGAGTCGGACCTGGGGCCAGCTCCAGCAACCGTCCATGGGAGCCTGTGGCTGGATGAGAAGAGCCACGCCGGAGCCAGCTCCTGATGCGTGCACCTACACGGGCTCCTTCTCGGTGCCCCTCGAGGAAGCGAAGAAAAGCCACTCTTGCCTGGCCAGCGCCCCCAGCTCCATCAGGTCCTGGCATGTGCTTGGCTGCACATGCGTGTCCTGTGGTCCGTGCAAGGAAACACCCGGCTCCCCGGCTCAGGGTAGTGCACAAGGCTGGAGCATCTCCAGCTGCACCCCCTCAGGCCCGGGGTTTCAGCACCCGTCACTGGCATGTGTTTGCCTTGCCCTCCTGACCCTGTGCCAGAAGGGGCACCTGCTTGCCCGGTGCCTGCACCGACAGGCACCCGGTACCCAGCCGCTCGCCCCGTTGAACAGCATGTCTCCCCTCTTGCATAACACGGCGAAGCATTGCAACAGCCCAGAGCACCAGACACAGCCCCGGCAGCCTCGGCGCTCTGCCAGACTTATTATAACCAGCATCACCTGCCAAGTGGCCAGTCCAACCACGCCACAGCAGACGCATTTGCAGTGAACTTCCCTCTGAGAGCCCCTCTTGATGCACGCCAGGCCTCCCCCGCTCCCTGCGGCTCGGCCCGGATGCCGTCACTCCTGTCTTTCATCTCGCTCTGAGTCAGGAGGCAGCTGGGGGTCTGCCCCCGCTCCCATCAGACTCGCTGAGAAACTACTCATGTCCTGTGGCAGTGCCAAGCTGCTGACTGGGACAGGCCCACATTGCGCTGGGCGCTGTACAAACCAGGAGAGCTTGTGTTGGCCGTGACGTTAACTTGAGGTATTGCCCCGGTGCTGCTCTGGCCTCGAGTCCCACCCACGTCAGGTCATTGTGGTGGGGAGGAGGAGGAGGAGGAGGAGGAGGAGGGTGGCGTTTAACTCAAGCCAGCTTGCTGGCTGGCTTTCAGCCGTTCCAGGATAAAGCTAGACTCAGCGCCCGGCCAGGGGGACTGGGAATTTGCACCGGTGACGAGAGAGGCGACACGATGGAAGCCCGCGGGACCAGGCTGCATGCCCGGGTGCTAAAATCACCGGTTGCAGCCCGCTTGGGGCGGGGGGAGAGGAGCTGCATGAAGGGCAGCGTCACTTGCTGGAGAGGGATTGACCACGGGGACTCGCAGGATCTCGGAGGCACGCGGAGCGGGCATCGGCGGGGGCGCGGGGCACGGCTCCAGCACCTGTCTATATTGCACGGGACTTAACGCTATCGCTACAGGGACCTCGACTGAATGCAAAGAGCCAGGAGCAAGACACGGGTCGAGTTTCTCAGTGACGGTTGATTTTCTTTGCCCCCCAGCGCACAGCAATGCTGTCTGCGGCCTCGGAGAAGGCGAGTTCATCACCGACCGGCCGTGGTCGTGACCTGAGGGCACTCAGTAAAAGCAAACAGAGAATTGTCCCAGCCACGAACATCCGCTGGTTTGTCCCAACCCATCAGGGGCCGAGGAGGATAAACATTGCTAAATCAGTAGGCCTACACAACACCTGCCCATGGGCTGCAGGGAGGAGATGTCAAGCATGTCATGCAATAGAGCTGGAATCCCAGGGAACCTGGCAGGCGAACGAGGGATTCGATTGAGACATCATTTGCCGGCAGACCCGCAAGGAACGCCCGCCAACAGCATCCCGTCAAAAACAGGTCTTGTCCAGCGCTCCCGATTTCGCTCTTGGATGAGATGACAAGTCGGGGCAATCGTGTAGCCGTGCAGACACGATAGACTTGGCACGGCGTTGGCTGCCTGCTGCATCCGGGCATCCCAGCGCAACGCTGATCAGACACGTGCCGCGCGGAGCAGGAGCGGGCGAAGGGGCGCGCCTCAGCAGGACGTGGGTGTGGGGCCCAAGGAGCCACACGGGGACAAGGTACGTGCAGGGAGCAAGGGGCATCTGAGGGTGGGGAAGAGGACGTCTGCTTGGTTCCTGCGGGTCCGTGAGCTGGGCAGGAGGGAAGGTGGGGAAGGGCAGAGACAGGTGGACCAAGGAGCGCAGGCAGAGGAAGAAGCCGGCCACGGAGAAAGGACAGCAGGTGGCTGCTTCTCTGTGAGGCCACGATAGCATGGGGCATCTCGGTGAGCTCCTGGGCGTGCTTCCCACCCCTGGTGAATTGGAAGCGGGGAATACACCAGCCCCTGCGCCGTCTAAACAGGCCGGGCAGGTCCTGGTTTACTGCAGAAAAATAAGCTCCTCCGCGCCGCCTTGCAAGCTCCCACCGCTCGCAGCGGAGCAGGGAGGCCCCTGTGCATTGCCCGCAGCTCCGGTTCACTCGCTCTGGGCCGCGATGCCCACCCTCTGGCTTAGGCCTGGGATGCG